GGATTGCTCATAATTCCTGCAGACTCAATTGCCCTTAATCCCTGTGCTTTAATTTTTAGATAAAATTTTATATTTATTGCTCATGATGTTATTACTGACCCTTTTTTGTTCACAGCCAGTAAATTGAAGTTTAGTGAAATCACGTTAGAATTTTTTACTTATTCCTAAATACCCTAAAAATTGAATTGATATGTTACATGATACTCCACTGGATCATGTATACTTTTGGTCTACTCTTTTGTTATTGGAATAAATTTACATGTGTTTTTATACGTTTGTCCTGTAGTGCAAAAGTGAAACACCTATGGGGAAGAGTAAGAAAGCTAAAAGTTGTGTATTATAAAATCCTAAACTCCTAATAATACACACATTTGTTATTTCAAAGGATGACAAAAATGAACTCCATACTATAAAGCAGCAAAAGTGTTCAATAAAAGTCTATTATTCTATAATTGTCAGATTTGCATTTGATTGTGTTCTAAAGATTTCTTCATTTTCACTTTTTGTATTTACCTAATGGAAACCTAACAAGTGTCAATAGATGTAACAATTTGAGGTGTGGTAAAAGGTCATTTCATACTTCTTGACCTATCTTTCCTGATTGTATTATTTAGAAATACAAATATTATTTTTCCACTTACCATTCTTTGTTGAAATTTAGTGGGAGAATTTGTGTAGTGAAAATAATGACTAGTATAAATAAATTACTTTTAAAATCCAAAATCAAATTCATGAACTTCATTGAAGTATTACCACCAAAAAAAAAAAAAAATTCTTCCAGATGTATGATGGAGAGTTCTTTTTTATAAGGCATTGTGTTTTGAGTCTTAATCAAGATCAAAATTCCTTGATTCCATGTTATTTCAACATAAATTTCAACATATCGCATTATTAAACTATCCTATCACTAACCTTTTTTCATAGACTTTGTTAAAATTCCAGTAAGTCTATTCTTTCTTTACTGTATGTATTAGTTTTCTATTGCTACCATAGTTACCACAAAAACTTCAAAACAACACTAATTTCTTATCTCCCAGTTCTGTGGGTCAGAGGTCTGGGCATGGCGGGGCTCAGCTGGAGCCTCAATTGCCAGCCTCTTGGGCTGAAGTCAAGTTGTCAGATGGGCTGGGCTCTTATCTGGAGCCTCTGGGGAAGATCCACTTCCAACCTCATTGATGTCAGAATTCCAGGCCTTTGTGCTGGTAGCATTGAGGTCTCCATTTCTCTGCCTCTGTCACCTAGGGCATGTCTTTGATCCTTAAAAGCTGCCCCCATACCTTATGTTCCCCAAGTGACTCCTCCAGCAGTGGCGGGTTGATTCCTTCTCATGCTTCAGATCTCTCTGGCTTCACCTTTCGCAAAATCTGTCTAGCCCTGGCTGGAGAAATCTCTCTGCTCATAAGGACTGATGTGATTAGATTGGGCCCGCTTGAAAAAGTCCGAAATAATATCTTTATTGTAAGGTCTATCACCTTAATTACATCTGCAGTGTCCCTTTTGCCTTGTAATGTTGCATATTCATACATTCCAGAGATTAGAGTATGGAGTTTGGAGGGCCATTCGCTTACTATATTATGTTTTAAAATTGTCTTTTCCTCACTTTGTGCTAGGAAATGTTTCCATACATATAGGTAAGCTTAACATTTTGGAGGGCATAGGGTGAGGGGGATGGAGCCCTTATGAGTACATTTCATCTTGTAACTTAAATATAATTTTTGTACTTGGATTTTAATTAAAAATTGATTAAGATCAAAACTCATGCATGAGTGCTTGAAGCTCAAAATCTCGAAAATGTTGACTGGCTCAGGTCTGTACATAAACCCACCATTCTTACTGATTATTTTTTAGTTCAGAGCCTCATACTAAACGATCCTAGCCCCAAATTTACATTTTAGCCTGTTATTTGACTTTTGCTTTTCTGTTGCATCAACTTTGTTTTTATACTGTTGAGATTTACCACTTTAAACCACAGAAACCATTTCTGTATTTCCTAAGATCGTCTTTCACTGTCATTTGTATAGACTCCAGATATGTCCCCAATAATTCTTGAAAATATTTAAGGGCAAAACGTTCCATCTGTTTCTTCAGTTGAAATTAATTTTTATATCGGAATATTTCTAGAAACTTAGGTGAGAAATTAATCTGTTAATCACTTTTTAGAAACCCTACTACAAATTCATGTTTAAAAGCTTGCCTCTCTGAATTTGTTTTCTTACATTTTCCAGTGCAGGGAATTTACTATTGTCGGTTACTATTTATTAGCTTCACATTAATTCCAATTACAAAAGATTTTATTTAACTTTGATAATTATGAAAATTATAAATGTCATAATACCTTATGGGTTGTTAAGTATGTATATGATTTAATTAGTTGTATGCATATTCTTTTCAAAATGAATTCAGATTGTAGCTAATTGAATATTTTGGTGTAAGAGCATATTCTTAGTGAAATTGTTACAGTGGGATTAATTTAGCAGATCAAATATATTAACCATAGAAATCAATGTTTTTTAATATTTCTTTCAATTTTACTTTTATGTATAACTTTATCTGCAAATCATGACTGTTAGAATCTGATTAGCTTTAGAGATATTTTTGTTTATAAACTGTATATCTTATGAGTTATATATTCTCTATGCCTGAGATATTGAAACTCAAGGGAAAATATTATCAATTTTTATGTACCAAAGTGTTGTATTTGAAGGACATAGGTAGGGAAAGATTTTTCCTATCATGCAATTTACCTATTCTCAAGGGCCATGTGCTAGTACTTCTGTTTCTGACTCTTCTAAAAGTGTGGCTTGATACAGTATTAGCAAGGGATACATTTTTAAAAATAAGAAATACACAGGAAATCAGGAGTATAGTCACTGACAGATATGGCTCTTTGTACAAAAGAGGGAAAATACATTGTAGAGTACTGCACTGCTAGTGCTGTGTTACGGGCTTCAAAATACTGTACATTTCAAATGTGTTTTTTGGCATCTTTCCCCCCATTTCCCAATTACCATCATTTTATTGGTAAAAGTTCTTTTTCCAGGATGAGATAATGAGTTTAATGTTAATGTGTAACTTGCAGAAATCATGTCTCATTTTACACTTAGATCTTGCTGCGACATATTAGAACTAAATGAGGTACATTTATACCCCAAGTCTCTGCCATATTTTGGAGGATTCAGTGTCTCGTCTCTCTCATCTTGCTGTTTAGGGATAGGAACTAAGCAAAGTGTTTTATAGTTTGACTTACACTGAAAATCACATTAAGCTATGTGTGTGTTTAAAGAAGACCTAGAGGTTGGCACCTAATAGTGCTCCCACCTATTTCCATTTAACCTGTTTCCAAATGGCACACCTCATGCCGTAAACCCTGATCGGAGACCCAGCAGCCTTACTGAGTAATTTATGTATTGACTATTGTAGTATTCTCACCTGTGCTGCATTCTGTTTTTTACTAATTAAAATTAAAATACAGATTTTACGAATGGCGTTAAGTAAATTAGACTATTAGAGATTCCTGGCTAAGTAGAATCTCATCTCACCATTAGCCGGGGAATGTGTTTCCCAAGGCTATGGCTTGGGGATGCAGCTTCTTAAACCACACAGTTGGCTGAGATGCTAAAAATGTTATGGGTGGAGAGATAAATTACTTTAGAAACAAGTTCTTCTTCACTGCACATACCCAGGTTTTAAAAGTCATGGCAAAAATAAGATTCCTTATTAGAAATTGGTTTCATTGGAAACATATCAGAAACGCATTTAGTCTGTAAACACAGTCTGTTGAGTACTTCAGCTGCATGCCCCTAAAGGGAAAGTTGTTCCACTTAATCCGCCCTAGTTATGCTTTTGTTAGTAATCTGAGAGGAAATGGGAGTCCTGCATCTTCCAGGTCCTTCCCTCAAAATCGTCAAGCCAGACAGCAGTGACAAATGTTTTTTCTAGATATTGATATAAGAAAATATTAAGAAGTAGAAGAAACAAAATAAAGCCAAAGGGATAAACATCAGAAGCTTGCTTCAACAGCTTTAGACCCATATAATTGCTTTTCTGTCAGCAGGATTATTAACAATTTTGGACATCTGAAAATTAAATTAACAGCCTGAAAACATTTTACAGAATGAGATAGAGCATGATACATGAAACATAATGACCCCACTGAAATGCAGCCAAGCCAGTGCAGCTACTCATTTAGACAGAGAAGACAACTAGTTAATCGTCACTGAACAAATTAGACAGAACAGATTAGTTTGCTACATTCCACAGTCTTAGCTACCAAAAAGAGTATATGCCACTAATTAGGATGAAAGAACTCTAGCATGTTATTATCTGTATATAGAGAGAAAGCAAAACTGTAGCTTGAATTGCTTCTATCAAAGCTTGAAGCCTAGGTTACGTAGGTATAAATTACATGTGGAAGAGTCTGTGTGTGTATGTGTGATCACGCACATATTTCAGTAACAGAAGCCTTAGCATTTTCTTGCACCTTAACCTAATGAAGTATGAAACACCCACACGCACACACATGCACAGACACACACGTGAAACATAAAAACATTTTTTTAAAGTTTGATTCCTTTAATTGAAAATGAAAGTAGCCATTTCATATACTTTATCTGGCACAGTATTAAGTTATTTGTTTCTTGTAGAAAGTGTATTGCTGTTGCATGTGAAATAAATATTTGGACTTAGAAATCATATTTTGTAGCCTTAATTAGCATTCCTTTGCTTAATTGTCATTCTCAGCCCCATCATTTCCATTTTTCACTAACTTGAACAATGCTATCTTCTGCTGTTTGCACTTTAATTTAAATTTCTATTAAGGTTTATGAACAGTAATAAGGTCCTGTTTGAATATTCATTAGCTTCTGAATTGTGAGCTATGAAAAGGTGCTTTCTTTTACCTTAATGAAACCGGCACAGCATGGGACTGATCAGTTGTGACATTTGATTTGAGGCATCCAGTGAATTTTCTCATTGTTTATTGACACATCTTGTCCAAACAGCTCCCTCGCAAGTGAGCGGAGTAATGAAGGAGAGAGTGCTGCAGCGGAGTGTGGAGCTTTCCTGGCAGGAACCGGAGCATCCCAATGGAGTCATCACCGAATATGAAATCAAGTATTACGAGAAAGTAAGTGCTAAGAACAGCTGAAATGTACAACCATGTACGACACTCGATGTGTCTTGTGTCATCCTACTGCACTGTCGACTAAAGCTGGCCATTGTAACAGCTATTTGGAGCTACTTCAAAATAGATAGTTAATTTTAGCCACTTTTAATAACCTTCTCCCTGAATCTCTGGTTCATTATTATAATGATAGTTTCTGTGTATTAAGTTTTTGTGTTACACAGATGAAAATATTCCACTAGTAGTATGTTTAGGTATTCAAGTTTTGATGTCCTAATGATTAGTTGTAGGATGTTTAGTACCACAGAAACCACAGAACCCAATGTGGTATTTTTTTTTCCCTCTGTGTTTTTGAAAATGTTTCTTTTAGGGTGTCTGTTTGAGCCCTTGATGATTTATTTTATGTATGTGGTTTCAGTGATAATGACGTGGCCTCAAATAATTTTGTAATTTGAAAAAAATAAGAATATTTTCTGTAATAAATGTGTAGTGTTCTCCAAACTTCAGAGTCAGGTGATAATATTTCACTCCTTTAAATTCCTCCTGAAATTTATTTCATATATCTTATACTAATTATGTCTACTACTTCTTTATACCCTTCTCTCCATGAAAAAAAATAGCATGGCTAAAACTCAAGTACTGCCCCTTTAATTCCCTATAAGGGCTAAATTTTAGTAAATAATGACATATCTCAGTGTATGAGTGCATTTATTTCTGACCCGTCTAGAGAAAGATAGACAGACAGACACAACCCTGTTCACAAATTATTTTCTAGGCTCTACCTCTCAGAAAGACCTGATTCAAGGTTTGAAACATGGAAACTATTATTATTACTAATAGTAATAATAATGATGTGTTACTATTATTGACTTAATTAGCTGAAGTACTCTAATATACATAACCATTTTAACCATTTAGACAGAATTTCAAAATGGAAACCTAAAGCTTTGGAAATATTTGGGGACTGAATTGACTTGATTGAATCACTTAAATGCATACAGTGCCTTGGCAATAGACACTTTTTTTTCACTTTGATGGAAAAACAGATAGTTTAAGATTAGTTTCAACGTTCAGATTGAGTTTACAATATTTTTACTTATTATTTCCTTTATGAATGCGTAACTTCCATAGCCAAAGTTACATTGTAAATACCTCATTTTTGTACCAGAGAATACATTTCTTGTCTCATCAAATGTATTTCTAAGGAGATCCTTGTTTTTAGCGTTGGGTTTGTTATGTCTGTTTTCCAGTGAACTCTGACAGTTATAAGTCCCTTCTGAAATTTCATCAGATTTCAAAAGCAATGAAAAATACATTTTAAAAATATAAGTTAGGTGGTAAGTGAGAGTAAAGTTTCTTACAATGCAACACAATATTTTGCAAATCCTTGCTCTGGAATAAATTTGTTCAAATAGTTACTTTTCTATTTTACATGACAGAAACAGTTTATCTACATTCACTGAATTTTACAAATTACAAAAAATCTTTAAAATAATACTATTGCTTTATAATGTATGTAAGCCTGTGATTTAATGTATATGTCATTATGTCTTCTAATATCAGTTATGCCTAGTTCTTTTATTTGAGATAAATATACATTTATAATATCAACTTTCATTTTTATAAATGATTATAATGAAGACAATTACAAGTCAGCTTCACTAAATCCAGTTTAAGTATACATTTATTTACGCTTTTGCAAATATCATCGTGAAGGTAAATCAAACAACCAAACCAACATTTTCAGATTTCACTGAATAGTTTTATTTCTAGACACAGTTGATCACAGGTATTTATTATTGAACAAGTAAGAACCCATCTAGAATTGTATATTTTGATGAGTAGTTTTTATAACTTTTTTCATAAACAACACATTAGAATCATATCAACTAAGCTTTAAATTTTTATTCATTTAACTATTGTTTTGATGGCATGTTTTATATTCTTGATTTTTTAATTATTCCATTCTTAAGCTTATCATATGTAATATGATAAACACATTTTTAAACTCTACAAGCCTCAGTTTTCATATCTGAAAAATGGGGAAATTGAACTGAGATGTTTAAAATATTGCCAAATCATAAATTATATGACACTTTAAGTTTTATATTTAAGACATTAACTTTTATATTAATAGTTTTAACTTCAAATATTCCATCAAATGCTATTTTGTAAAAGTGGTTTTATTCTGCGAGAAATACATTTTTTTTTTAGCTGCACCGTGCGGCATGCACAACCAGGGATCGAACCCGTGCCCCCTGCAGTGAAAGCACAGAGTCTTAACCACTGGACCGCCAGGGAAGTCCCCTGAAAAATGCAATTTTTAATGAAAACAATTGATATGTCACTATGCTGGTGGTATTAGCTAAGTTTCTTGATTTTATAGATTTCTTCATTTTTAGCCTGTGGCTTTTTGCTTGTTGAATAACATTCAGGAACAGTATTAAGCGAACCACATTATGAAGTGAAGACCTCTACTAAACTGTAGATTTTACAAGTGTACTTATGTTTTGGTCAAAAGAACATTTGATTATATTTATGGCTAAATAGTTCTTGCCACTGTGCCCTCTACCAACAAAGCAAAGGCTCAAAACATCATAAATGTTTTAAAAAAATTATTTCTCTTTGAAATTTATAGAACAAAGGCATGTGCTCACATTATTTTATATTATCTGAGAAACAACTCAGTGTTCCAATATTCCACAGGGTACAATGTAGCCTTTATAAAAACAATGCAGCAAATTGAAGTAAATTGCAAGAATTGGCTGTCAAATTGCCTGGTTGCAATCACAATTAAATATTCCCTGTATTGTTTCTAGGATCAAAGGGAACGGACCTACTCGACATTAAAAACCAAGTCCACTTCGGCCTCCATTAACAACCTGAAGCCAGGAACAGTGTATGTTTTCCAGATTCGGGCTTTTACTGCTGCTGGTTATGGAAATTACAGTCCCAGACTTGACGTTGCTACACTAGAGGAAGCTACAGGTAAAATGTTTGAAGGTAATTACCATCTTTGGTTTGGATTCTTACTCTCTATAACTCTGGCATATTTTTTTTCAGTACTGGGGGCGATGATTTAGTTCAAGATGATTTTTACTTTTAAAGGTGAATGTATATGCATATGTATATATATATTCTTTGTAAAGGTTATTCAGAATAATAATTTAAAATTTGCAGTTTTGTTTTGTGATGTTATACCCTTGTGACTTAAATTAGTTTCTTTAATACAGACTGGGTTTATTTTGAAAAGATAAAGTCAGAAACAGAAGCAGGACTTGTTCAAATGTGTATTGATACAGACTGTTTTGATACACCCCAAAATGATCTTACTCTAGTTGTCAGTCAAAGCTGCCCCCAAAATGAAGCCAAATGAAGCCAGGAGAACCCCCAAATGAAGCCAGGATGTACACCAGGGTGGGCCAGAGAAAGGTGGTTTATAATAATCATGGTTAATTCAAGCTACTTACCTTTTAGCAATGATTTCAAAATTTGCCATTCAAGAAGAAGATCTTAGACCTTGTCATTCTTTTTATTTTTGTCATCTTTTTTCATTTTTATGAAATATTTCCAACATACTAAATGCCATATTTAAGGTATATGTGAAATATTAAGAAGAATAATTAATTGAATATCTCTGTATCTACCACTCAGCTTAAAAATAGAACATTAGCAATATCTCGAATCCCCTTTATCCCTTTGTGTTTTATAAGGCAGCATAGGAACATAACAAAAATACATGTGTCTATAGTGTATCACAAATAAGCAGATGTATCTTAGGATGCACGTCCCAGTCTATTGTCAGAGTGCAAGTTTAGAACAGCTTGAGTACCACTGCTGGTTGTTATTTAGCTAGGTTGAAGCCTCAGGGTGTGTTTCTGTGTTTTGGAAGTTTTTGATTTCTTTTGATATTACTCAGACTCAAGGTTCACCCAGCTGTTACCTCCTCCTCTCCTTACCAATCTAGTGTTCCTGTGGAATTCTACACAAATATTAGCTAAAAACTATTATATGATTTTCTTTTCTCAATTTTTAATAGAAAATTTTTTTAATAAATTAAATCAATACAATTTTGATCAAAGAGTTATTTTGACTTCGGGAGAATATTTTTCTAGCTCTTTTAAAAGGTAGAATAAATTGGTAAATTCTTTTGCATTAGCTAATGCTTATTAAGTCTGCTAACAGTAGTCTTTTTTCAAAATATTTTGTTATATTTTTAAATTAAGCAGTAACTCTCAGAGCCTCAAATAATAACACATATGTTGAAATAAATTTGAAATATAAATTGTTTATATAGAATTATAGACACAAAAGTCATCAATTGAAAAAGATTTCACATAATATGATGTGATAAACTTATTATCATTATTCTTTGTCATCTTTTTAAAATGGAGTGTGTAAGAGTAAGATTAAAACTGAGAATAAGTTCAATGGCCCCCAAAAATTACAGTGTTTTACACTAATATTTCAACATTTAAACATTTTGAGTGGTCTTTTGTTAAATGTGTTGCAGTAGTTTTTCCATTTAGACTGATCTCTTGATATTTTACTTTGTAATTTCTAATATAATAAAACAATTCAAAATATGGTTTTTTTCATATTCTAATGAATAGTTCAAACTTAAAGAACCATCAATCAGCTATACTTACCCAAACATTCATTATCAGTTAAAAGTTTAGGTTTGAAAACTTTCCAAAATGAGTTTGTACATTTTCCTGACTTCGTAAATTAAGAATATTGGGTCAAACTATTATTTATTAGTGCTGAGGTTCATAGATGTTATTTTCATTATTTAAAAATGAAGTAACTAACCCTCAGAGAGATGGAGATGAAGTAGTAGAACATGAATGAGCACATGAAATTCATGTTAAAAATGAATTTTGCATTAGAAAGGATTTGGTGATTTTTTTATCATCAGAATATTCTCTCCACTGGAAGGTAAAGTTGATGAAAGAACAATCCATATCTCTTTTTCTTACTTTAGTCTTGCCAGTGCCTAATATAGTGCTTGATGCATAGAAGGCAGTCAGTAAGTAAGCAAGAAATGAATACCTCACAGTCATCAAAAAAACAGATTATCAGGATCAGTTGGAGCTAGTAGACGTATTCCTGGTTTCACATTTCAGCTCTGCCATGTCCATTTGTGTGACTTTGGATGAGCTACTTCTCTGTGCAAAAGTTGCTAGGATACCAGTACCCAACTCTCAGAGTAGTTTGAGGATTAAATAAGTTGATGTACACAAAAGTGCCAAGTACAGTGCCTAGCACACAGACAGTCTTGAATGTCAGCTTTTCTTATTTAGGACAGCCATTCTCAAGCCTTTAGGTCACAGGAACCCTTACAAGCTATTAAAAACTATTGAAGATCCCCAAATAGATTTTGACTATTTGGGTTATATTTCTTTATGTTCACCACTTTAGAAATTAAAACTGAGAAATTTTAAAAACACAAGTATACACAACACACATTTCATTAGCCATCAGAGTGATATTATCACGTGTCATGTAAGTTCTTGGGAAACTCAACTGTGCACTTGTAAGCATGTGAGAGTGAAAAAGGCAAATAACATTAAATGAAAATAGTGTTGACCTTGCAGATTCCCTGGAATGTTCCTGAGGAACCCTTAGGGTTTCCCAGACACCTTTTAAGAACTACTGATTTAGCACACGTTACTGTGCTAAGAATCTGGGATGTACAGAAACACATGACACATTTGATGCTCTCAGTTAGTGAAAGAGAGAAACTTGTACACAAGTTCTGACCGTACAATTGAGCACTGGTAGAGTGCATGACCCAGTGCTATCAGAGTGTCAGGAAACAGTGATCCTCTGTGCTAGGAAGGAGGGCAAGAAGGAAGATGCCACCAAAGAGAAGTTACCTGAGCACTGTTTGGAAAGAGAACTCAGATTATTCCATTGCACATACATCCAAAAATCCACTTCTGCGCAGAGCCAACGCTACAGTTTTCACAATTTTTAAATCATGGTGTAGTGATTATGACACATATAAATTACTTTTAAAATGTATTATCCATGAATTAGATGAAAATATGAACCATAAATTTTGACTATGTTAAGATAAAAGTGTGACCCTGAATATATATAAAAACATGTAAGTAAATATTCACAAACTCTAATTCATCATTCACCTGAGTTCAGTTTTCTCATTGGAGATCTGTTTCTGAAGCTATGGGCAGAACAGAGCCTAAGACAAGCAAAAAATTAGACCCATGGGACAGATTAAATGAAAACAATTTCTACACATAACGTGTTTAATTTTTTTCTTTCTCATGAACAAAACTACTCCATTCTTTTTCCTCTCTTAATATATATTAAAAGACAGATAAAAACAAAAACAACCAAACCAAGAAAAATACTTGAAGGCATCTTTTCTCTGTTTGATCATAATAGGCTGTAATTCAGAAATTAAAGCTGTAAAGTTGCTTTCTTTTTCTTCTTTTTCTTTTTCCCTTGTTTCATTCCCTCAGGGAGCAAATCAGCAGGTGCTGAATTACAGAGTGTGTATAATACCTCTTTTCAGAAACCAATACACCAGAGCTATTTTTACTGTTTTTCAACGTAAGACCTATCTATAGTTAGCATAGGTATACAAAATTAAGAGATGAGTTGTCAAAGGAGGGAGACGTAGATAAAGTAGAGAAAGGCCAATCAGAAAAATGTATGCTTCCTGTTGGGGCAAGACACACTCTGCCTACATAAAATTTACTGCTCTGGAGACTGAGTCCCTTGCCACACCAAGAAGGAGTAGTATTTTCCATCCTACCTTAAAGATTACAGCTGTTGATTTTTTCAGAAATAAGCAAACTATATTAGTTTGATATTATATAATTATCAATTTGCAACTGGATCAGCGATTGGAATATATATTTTCATTGTGTTGCATTCTTTTGATTATTTTATGAAGTCTATACTGATATTGAAAATATAATGCTCTGGGGAAAATGTGACACTTGTGAATTGCCAGATAAGTAAAACTTCACTAATTTGGAAAAATCCAAGTGAGAAGGCCGTGTAACTCGATGAAGAATCAGAATCAGAGGCTGCTTTAAAGGACATGTAAACATATACTGTTCCCAAAGAGACTCTCAGGAAGGTTCAGCTGGGCTTGCCTTAATGAGCGTAGAAGAATCACTTAGCATTGTACAGGAAGCGACTACAATTAGATAATACAAAAATGTTTTTTACAGTGCTTGCAGAAAGTTGGCTCTTTCATAAATAGCCTAGCTCTTAAACTCTCAAATGTGTATATTGCCTACTTTGTCAAATTAATACCAGTAATTCTGTTCGTTTTCCTTAATTAAGGTGGATTATAAATTCATAATGATTTACTATGATTACATGATGATTTTTATTCTATATTGATGATATGAGAGATAAATCATTTAAGGTGCTTTGAAAAATGCTGAGAGTATGTATTTGGGTTCCTTTTTTACACACCAGGAAAACAGACACAGAGAGATCAAATACCTCACTGAGGGAAAAATAGGGATTTAATAGCAATTGTAGATGAAAGATCATAATTTATCTCTTGATTTATAACTAAGTTTCCAACAATTAAGCAGGGGATAGCCATTCAATAAGGCATTTTGTAGGGATCTTTTCTAGCTGAAGAATATAAAATAGATGAAAGTATTGTCCTTACCACTGATTTAAAATGCAAAAATAAATGGTTATTTAAATTTATGTTACAATAGAATGCATTTAAATTAAAGGTGAATGTAATAGCATAGCTGTCTTGTTTATAAGATTTTGTTTAACCTCAAGTGCTTGCAAGATATTGAGTGTTTTATTGAGCCTTTTTTTTTTTTTTTCTGTTTATAGCTACGGCGGTCTCCAGTGAACAGAACCCTGTTATTATAATTGCTGTGGTTGCAGTGGCCGGGACCATCATTTTGGTGTTCATGGTCTTTGGATTCATCATTGGAAGAAGGTAGAAGACAAAATTTGTTCTAATCTCTAACATAAAATGTGTTGATTTTTCAGAATTATGTCAGCCTATTACTTATTGTTTAGTTTAGAATGTTAAATAGTAAATGCAGACATTTGTTGTCTCATATGAAACATTGAAGGTCAATAAATTTCCATTCTCCCAATGTCAGAATGTCGTGTGAGCTTGATCATTGCCTTTAGTTTAAGAGGAATGAGTATTGTAATTTCTATTGGGTGACTTTTTATTAGCTATTTTCAGAGTTAGATTTTTGTAATAAATAGAGAAAACACCTGGGGAAAGATTTACTCTTTTAGTTAATGGTTTGTGGAAACCATTTAAAATCTGTTGTTGTTGTTGTTTTTTCAGGAAAAAATATAAGCATATATTCACTCATTGATAAATCTAATCTATGAAATATGTCCCTTCCACAATGTCTCACACAAAGACTTTATATTCTCTGCTTTTTTTAAATCATGTGAATTGCTATATTACTATTGAGTTCAGAACTATGGACAGAAAGTTTATGTATTTTGTTTATAGCTCTAACTAGCATGTTGTTAAGTAATTAAGGTATATGATACTGAATTTTAAATATGTAAAGTGAGATTATTGGCTGAAAATAATCATCAAATACCTGAATTTTTTTCCAGGCACTGTGGTTATAGCAAAGCTGACCAAGAAGGGGATGAAGAGCTTTACTTTCATTGTAAGTGTTTGGCTTTTCTTTATTATTATTTACCCCAATTAACACAGAAACCTGGTTGTTAATATTGGCATGAAAAAATTCCTAATGCATCAGGCTTGAAAATATATCATGAGCTCAAAATGTTACTTTAAAACATTTGAACAAGATATGCAGAATGAAGATCATATGATGTGAATTTTTAAAAAATATATTCAGACATGTAATCTCTCATAAGAAATTTTAATATAAGTGCAAGGATATTCAGTAGCTTTTATGTCACAATTGTTCCTTTTGCAAACTTTGCCCAAGTGTTTCATATCATTCTAATAATGATTCATTAAATGTTGCATGTACCCATGTTGTAGCTCAGGAATTCGTTTCAAGTTAGAAGGATAGGCCCTTTTTTTTCTACCCAATGAGAGATGATATAATGAAAGACTAAGCTAAGGAGCCTCTTTCTCTCCATCTACTGTAAAATGTCCATCACAGATGATATTTCAAGGGACGTAAATAGTATAATAATAGGATTCAATCCTCTGATGTTTTCCTGTGGATCTGGGCTACCTGATTCTTAAAAGTTCATTTTAGAAATAATATCAGAAGAAAGCTCAGGGAACCAAAGAAAATAGATGCCCGACTGCATTAATCTTATCGTTGTTGCATGTGGATGGCAAGTGAAAAACTGAGAGCCATGCAAGTAAATGTTGACTTCTTGCAATCAAAGTAAAATCCTAACAGGGAAATGATTTTAGCTCTGATAATTGATGATGCTCTTATCCAAACCCATTATTCCTATTTTTAATCCTTGAAACTATTGAAAAATAATTTTATTTATTATTTTTCTTAGTAACCATAATCTTTATGAAAATTTCTCATGGGGAGATAAATTTCCTGTAAATGGCATAAGAATTACATCTATTTTTTTGTTATTTATCAAACTCTTATGTCAGTTTCTAAGAAGATATTGTCATATACCCCTTCTAAAGTCACAGGAATATGGAAGCATCAATCAGGGAAATGTGTGGTTGAAAAAACACAAATTGTGAACACCATTATTATCATTCCTAAGTTTCTTCAGTGTGTTATTAATTGTTGAACCAATAGTTCCCTTAACTTTAGTTTCCAAAAGAAAAGTGGCTTTACATATTACATATCCAAATTGATGATGAAACTCTGTAAAATTTCAACCACTGATGGCAGGAAGGGTATTGGGACACTAGAAATTATAGTGAAAGGTATGACCAAAGGGCGCTTTATCATGAAGTTTAAGTTTCAAGGCCCCTCACTTTCACAGACTCCTTTCAAGGCCCTGGAAGAGTCCTAGCAAGTTAGTGTGTAGAATATTTTTTCTTAAAGAAAGTATCCCAAATTGTAGACGGTTCAAGCCCCACAAAACTTAAATCTGCCCCTAATTATGACTGAATACATGTGATTCTGCCCCCTCCCCCTGGGATGATTTGATATGCTCCCAGTGTCAGTGCGTCCTCTTGCTAATCTGGAGGCGATTTTGTGACAAGTCCCAGTAATGAGAGTACCATAGGCCGTTTACACCTAGAGGATATACAGAAAAAGTGGAAGTTACATTTTTTTTCTCTTTCATGACATGAGAGAATACTTTTAACACTTCCCCAGACAGAAAGGAGAGAATCAAAACTTGAATGCATTAATTTTTGTATCTAGTTTAAAATGTATATAGAAGAGTGACATAAGACTATTGTTGCTGGAATCCTTGACTCTATCTATATGTGAATAATTGGATGGCAAAATCATTTAATACTACCTTAATCAGTATGTCACTTTTCTTTTCTTTATTGAGGGTATCTGAGACATCCCCAAATGAGCAAATGCTGCCTCTTAGTTTTTTTACTTTTAGCGTGAAGGTTAATGCTGAAGGTAAATTAAAACATGGCTTACCTAAAACATGATGTATAGCCTAATGCTTAATTGTCATCACTCAGTTTTGATATTTTGATGCCATTCCCTTTTTTTACACTTGACATCCAGTTTGTAATTAGAAAAAAATAAAGCTGCATGTGTTACCTGCTAACATAGAAAAGATAAACTTGAGGTATATATAAACAGTTTTCATCTCTAGAGCAAAATATCAGTGGTGGTTTTAAGATGTTTAACATTCATGAGAAATGTAAATGAGATATTAAAACACAGAAAAGCTCCTACTCTTAAATCAGGAAAAACAATAGACCAAAATATTCAGAAATTACATCAAAATTTTTCTTATTTTAAAGCATCCATTTTGAAACGAATAATGAAAAAAAAAAGTACACTTAAGATATCCTATCTTGGTAAATCCTTGATATTTTTGAATTACCCTTTTTACAAGGATATCTTTTCTTGTCATTTGTTGAGAACCAGGCATTTTATTTGATTTTATGACTGTATTTACAATACGTAAAGTACAAAACTGTGGTCACCAGCTATTTACAAGTTGGTGTCCTTTTATTCCTTTAGTATACAAACAATTTCCTTAGGTGCTAAGACACCAGATTGAATTTTTACAGAAACATGAAAGCAACCATTTTAGTAGCTTTTAGAGCACTGAATTTAATAGAATGTCCAGTCATTTGTATCAGGTGCCCTCCACTCTCCATGGCCCCAAGTGTTACATTTAAAGATATAAACACGATGGAGGAGTTTAGTGAAGCAATTCCAATTTACATTTTGTTTCCTCCTACCATTTCTTCTAACAATGTCTTTGAATCCAAGCCGGGCAGTATTTCATGTTTTTATGCCAAAATTGCTCTGGCCTGTCAAAATGTTTTATGACAGCTTGAATAAAGAACCATCAGAGACCCGTTTGAGATGCAGAAGGCTACCTCCAATCCAGCTCCCTTATCACAAAACCAAACCAAAAAGAAAGAAAAAAAAAAAAAAAAAAAACAATGAAAGAAAGGAAGAGAATAAAAAGGGAGAAGATGGCTCATTCTCCATCTGCCTACCAATCTAGGAGGTTAACCTATTGTTTTCTTCCCTTCTCTCTTTTTCTCTTCCCCCCCTTTCCCTGTACTCCTTTTTCTCTCTTTTCTCTTTCTATCCCCTCTCTCTTTTCTTCTTGTGTTTTTTTTTTTCATGTTCAGCTTTAGTAACAAATGAGCATCTGTCAGTTTTATAGACTGCAACAGTAATTGTTTAAGACAATCAATTTTGGATAAACAATCAACTACAGCAGAATAATTCAAGATTTTTAAATCCCATTTTTCCTTTATACATTCTGCTTTTTTTTGTTTGTTATATGCTTATTTTAAAAATATAATTTCAATTTGATGTGATGACATAAGCACAGTTAGGCTGCAGTGTAATACATAAAGAAATATATTGTTCTCCAAATAGTAAGATTTAATGAAAAGATTGTTCAGTGGCTTTGTTAAAAACAATAAAGTTTTTTTGAGGATATAGTGTATCTTTTCATTGCATTAATATAACCAAATATATGCCTATCTATCTTATCTTTGTCTTTAACCAAATGATTAGATTTGGAATACATTATTGTAATTGATTTAAAGTTGACATAGCATTATCTGTTACCTGCATGCTTCTGGGTGCATTTTAAGAAGTTTTTAACTTTTAAGATGATTCTATGTTGTTTGAATTTTGACTACCTTTTCTGAGGCATATTGGCTACCTCCTCATAGCAGTTAAGATCTTCCAGAGCCTTATAATTGAAAGTTCATATAAACCATTCCTCTTTCAAATTACTGTCATACATGGTTAGCAGATCCCAGGAATATTGTAAATTTTCTAACTTTACCCTGCACTTTGTACATCTGGCCTCTATTGCCCTTCAAGGTGAAGAAGAAACTGTGTCATAGTAGATTTCTCTCTGGTTCTGTGATAGCAGTCCCTCACATCTTGTATTAATTTATATGTCTATGTCAATGGTGGTTGGTCTTTAAAAAAATAAATCAAAAGAATAAGTAACATGTCTAACTGTTTTTAATATTGCTGTCAGTGTAGTAGGCTACCTGTAAATGAAATGTCTTCTTTTCCCAGTGTATTAATTTGATTGATTGACTGAATGATAGATTTACAAATGTGTTTCCAAGTCCATTACAAACCTCAGTATGGCTTGAACTATGCCATGATAGCAGTGAATTTAATTAAACCTCCAGTCTGATAAGAGTCATGTCAGAGAATTTCGGTGATGTCTTTTGTTGATTTACTGGAAAAGCAATTCAGTTAGTAAACTATGAACTGGATCCTATGTTACCTATAGAAGCTTGCAGATAATACCTATACGCCCGCAGACTGAAGTAGTCTGTTAAAACTGCTGTGAATCAGGTGATGTGGAAGCAAGTTCACTGTTCCAAGGAGCACTCTGCATAATGAAATTCCTGGGCTGACTGCACAATAAGTGCTTTGCTTCATCACAGTCATGCTTTCTTACATCATTACAGTTAAATTTCCAGGCACCAAAACCTACATTGACCCTGAAACCTATGAGGACCCAAATAGAGCTGTCCATCAATTCGCCAAGGAGCTAGATGCCTCCTGTATTAAAATTGAGCGTGTGATTGGAGCAGGTAAGGCTGTTGTAGCTTCCTTGTTCAGCTGTTCCACTTAGCCAAGATCGAAAGTCATACATCATAATGACAGGCAAATAATTATAACTCAAGTATAGAACCTTTGCATTTACCTGAACTGTTAGAAGCAATGAGCCTGTACTTGTTTATGAAATCTTAAGAAAAAAGTGAAAAAGAAGCACGTGGTGCAGAGAATCGTGTATCTTTTGTCTTCTGTTGGATTTTTAAGATATCGTTCTATTATAATCTATTTCGTAATAGTTCTGGCCTGTCCAAGAAATGACTTCGTATTTAAAATAATTAGAATGTCCCGAATTTTGCTGGAATATACATCTCCCCTGACTTGATTTACCATCTTCCTGCTAAGCTTTAGGTATTAGCCGTTGTGCTGTGTAATTCCATGTAGAAAATTAATATGTATGAATTATTTAAAAGGAGCATTATTTTCTATGGACACAATGTATCTTCAGAATAATTATACATTTTTGGATCAAGTCCATTCAATCTAGCAGACATAAGTAGATATGAATTCCAGATTTTTAAATCTTTGAGAAGTATTTGCTTCTCAAGCTGTGAAAACAACAGCAATGTTTAGAATTTGCTAATGTGCCCTTATACTCTAGTAAGCAGTGTACGTTATGCAGCGTATTTCAAACCTGAATGTTGTTTCTGAAAGAGTTTTTGTTAACCCAGTTAAAAAAAATAATAGTTTGTGTAACAGATAGTTTAGGAAAGTTTAAAAGTGCTTTTAAAGAATTTAATGCATTTACTTTGAGAGAGGAAATATTTCTGAAATTAAAATACACCTGCCTGTTCTGTTACTTCAGGAGAATTTGGAGAAGTCTGCAGTGGTCGTTTGAAACTTCCAGGGAAAAGAGATGTTGCGGTAGCCATAAAAACCCTGAAAGTTGGTTACACAGAAAAACAAAGGAGAGACTTTTTATGTGAAGCCAGCATCATGGGGCAGTTTGACCACCCAAATGTTGTCCATTTGGAAGGGGTTGTTACAAGAGGTAGATATTGATTCTATATTTCATTTATCCAGCGAACTGTCAGAAATTAGTGTTATTTCATAGATACTAAAAAATCAAATTGTAAATACATTGCATATTCTTAATGAATTTTTTTTTCTTGATATGTAACTGACTAAATTTTCTTTTGTGTCACCATCTCAGAAAAAAAATCAGGATAAATGAATGCAGGTTTAGAGCTAAAGAATATATCTGAAAGATAGATGGAGTGACAGATATTTTCATTTAGCTTCAAAGCCACAAAAGTAATACAGTTTAGTCTTCGCATTTTCTGTAAAGTGTCATTTTCTCTGAGTTTTGTTCACAAGGCAGGAGTCAGAAGAACACATTGACTTTTACTGTTTAATTTTGTGAATCGTGACCACATTCCAAACAGACAGTTAATGACTCTTTGCATTTTGCAGCACTAAAAGCGTTAGAAATACTCACCACTCACCCAGTCAGTCTTTCAAAAGAGCACCATGTGTTTTATCCGGAGTGAGAAAGAGGATAAATACGAAGTTTAGATTACAGTTTTGGAAGCAACACTGTTTTTTCTTATGTATATATTTTTGTAATTTTAGGGAAACCGGTCATGATTGTAATAGAATTCATGGAAAATGGAGCCCTAGATGCATTTCTCAGGGTAAGTAACAAAGTTATTCTCCCATTCTAAATATACATGCTACCAATGTAATTTTCTGAACTTTTCTTTGCAGTGTAAAATGTGAACAGTGTAAACTTTAACAGGTCACAAAATTGTCTTTGAAAAACAGATTAAAAGAGTCTTAGACTGGATTGAACGAGAATATTTTTGAGCATTTAAGTGATACAATGTAGTTAAAAAATAGTTTCCATTGACATATTACCACAAGTATGGAGGATACCTGAAGCCCTGTAATTTGAATACCTGTTGTAGTGTAGCATTTTACTTTTTCAGTACAATTATAAATGAAATACAGACATAATACAGAGAAGACTGAGAAGTGAGATAGCCATTCAATGTTGGTAGGATGATCCCAGCTCTGCTCTGTGGAACCATTTCTGTTATATTGTTATGTGAACACCAAGCCTAAAATAAAGAATTATGAACCTTTTTAGAGTTACAAGTATGTTATTTTTATAAATAATAAATTCTAAATGTAAAAACATACGTATTTTTACATTCATAGACTTTCCACCTAAGAACGTGAACACATGTTAACATTTTTTCAAACGGCAAAGAGAAAATAATGAGAACATACATGATCTAGAACGATAAGTTCAACCCATTTTAATAAGAATTCAGAGGATTTCGAGAGGTCTTTATTGCTGCATCTTGATGATATGCAAGATGCAAATGTCATCTTGCATATGACGTGCAAGATGATATGTATAACTGTCAACTCTCTGGAAGAAAGCGTCACCTAGCAAGCTCATCTGCTCAATCCACGGTCCTCCTGCACCATATCTGCAATTCAGTTGGAGAAATCTGTGGGTTAAAAATATATGGTGGCCAGTTGGTTGCAAAGAGTGCTCAATTCTACTTGCTAGTACATGTATTTTAGAGAATCTTGGTTATAAGTAATGTACCTACGGATAGCAATGAAAAGTATAAAGTGAAAACCAAGTCAGCCAGTATAATCCTTTTCTACCTCTTAGTTTCTCTCCATCTTTACTCAAAAGTTTTTTCACCTTTACATTTTTTACCATTTGGAGACAGAAAGCTAATATATGTATCTTTATCCCTTTTATATTTTTAGATTATTTGTGTAATTTTTGCAAGTGAGGAAAACATTTAGCTGTCAGGGATCATTTTTTTTTTATATTCCATTCCCTAACTTTGATTTAAAAATTAGCATATACTTTTGTATTTGCACAATCTGAAATTATTATTAGTTAATGTTAACAACACATCCATATAAATAACTAAATGATTATCAGAACTCTATTTTATATTACCTGACTATCAAGTTAAATCAGCACCTGTTATGTTTTTCACAAGTGTCTACACTACATAGAAAATTAACTGGTGATTCCTAGTATACAATAGAAAATGACTAGGGTGCAGACATTTTTCATGGTGATTTTTTTTCCCTTTCAAAGTATAGCTAACTGGACTTTCATTTTTGTCTTCCTGTAGAAACACGATGGGCAATTTACAGTCATTCAGTTAGTAGGAATGCTGAGAGGAATTGCTGCTGGAATGAGATATTTGGCCGATATGGGATACGTTCACAGGGACCTTGCAGCTCGTAATATTCTTGTCAACAGCAATCTTGTTTGTAAAGTGTCAGATTTCGGCCTGTCCCGGGTTATAGAGGACGATCCAGAAGCTGTCTATACAACGACTGTAAGAAAAAGTCTATTACTGCACCTTTTCATATTCCTGCAATTTTCCTACCAAGAAAGCAGGGCCTAATAATACAAAGCTAAATGGGAGAAAAGAGGCAAATTGATCTCAGCTTTTAGTTGTTGCTATTTTTTTCCTTTTGGAAGAATCTTTGTTGCTTTTACAATCTACATATAGGCTAAGATGAGAAGTAATGATAAAAATGAGAACAGCTCATTTTATATTGGGATGTTCATATAAATAATATACACATACAACATTTGGTTACTAGCAGTCATAATTGTAGCAGAAAAATATAATCCCATTTTAATAAAGGTTTTAATAAAAGATTAACTATGCTAATTCCTATAACTTTTGTAAGATTAGAAAAAGGGAAAATATGAGGATTTACTTATATACTATTAATATTATTCCAATATTTCATTCCATTTTAGTAGCTGTTTTGTCTAATTTGTCATCTTCCTTTCGACTAGACTCTTGCCCTACAGCCACATAGGTCCATTATTGATTTGCCTTAAAAATGAAACTTTAACTGTGACATTTTAAAAAACAGATTAGTAACTTTAAATGCACTTAGAGAAATTCAAGATGAATAGACCTGATACTGCTGAATTGCCAACCAAATACACAAGTGTTTAACTGTAGCTTTATGGTTCTGCTATAAATGTTTTATACATTATTATACATACTTAAAAAGTATTATACATACTTAAAATGTCATACTTAAAAATACATACTTAAAATACTTATACAGGGTGGAAAAATTCCAGTGAGGTGGACAGCACCTGAAGCCATCCAATACCGGAAATTCACATCAGCCAGTGACGTATGGAGCTATGGAATAGTCATGTGGGAAGTTATGTCTTATGGAGAAAGACCTTACTGGGACATGTCAAATCAAGATGTAGGTATTACACTACTTAAACAAAAAGGATTTATTTAATACATTAATATTCATATTATGGGACGTGTAGGTAATGGCTCATATGAAGAAACTTTTATAGAATCATAAAAAGATGATTGCTGAGTTTTCACAATTATTACCACAAATTACCACAATAATTACCATAAATTAATGGTTCAATTAATTTCATTTTGTCTTCATTTTGAAGAATTGCTTTTTCTTTTTTTATTTAAATTCTCTGGACATAATAGAAGCCTGCAAAGGATATTTCTCCTTATTAAAGGTAATCATGCTGAGCTTGCACACCTGTAGTGGGAGAGTCACATGAATAAAAGAGTTATTTGCAGAGGGGAGGGTGAGGAAGGTTGTGTTTGATTTTGTTGTTACAGCTTGTCTTTCTTTTTTTTAATTTCCTGATAAAATCTGTTTAAATTATCTATTGTTGATTGATTTACTTAAATTTTAATTTCATGAGATAACCTAGATTTTATGATCAATATTGGTGTTTCATAGTGATATTTTAGAATGTAATCACAATGGGACTATCTTTGGAAATTTCTTCTAAAAATACAACTTATTAAATATGTATCTTGTTACTAAGGCATAAGATACGTCGTTATCCTTTAAGAAGCTGATGATAGTTCTTGAGCGTATACATCTCACACAAAGAAACCATTTATAAAACAATATAGCATAAGTGCAAGTAAATATTTGCTTCTCTAAGTTGAATTTTACGAAATTAACATTTCTGTAAGCCAGAAGCTTTCAAGTACTGGCAGATTCATGTGGCTTAATTTATTGAAAATATGAGTGAAATTTAGATAAAAGTAGAGCAAATGTAAAGTCTAGGAAGGTACCCTGGATTTGAAGGTGACTTCCAGGACTTTGAAGGTGACTTCCAGGACTTTGAAGGTGACCCTGGATTAGAAATATGGAGAAGACCTTGGCTCATAGTTGATTAGAGAATTTGCCAAGGGAGCCCTTTGGAAAGTCCAGAAATAAAGGCTTAGTGAAGTGTTTGGGGACCAACCAAATAGACTCCTGTGCATCTCCTATAAGGGAGATGCATACATCGTTAGTGATTTGAAATGAAGGTTAGGTTGAGGCAAATTGATGAAAGCTTTTTTTTGAAGGAATTTGGAAATGGTAAAAATGCATGCTCTTGAAGAATAGAGTAAAAAACTAAGTGCTGCTTGAAGAAATTCTATATTACCATTGAAAAGAAGGATGTGACAAGCAAACCGGTTTGGAGTAGTCAATTCTCGAGGTACTATAAACATAGACAGCAATAGATGCTGACTAACATTAAAGTTGAGTTATTTTTCAAAAACAGATCATGATCATTGTTATATAAAATTAGTATCCTTTTTTATTTTAGAATTTTCCACATCAAGTTCCTATGGTTCTTAAAATTTATAAGTAGCTATTTTTAGACAACTAAAATGAGACTGCTTGTTGGTAAGGTAATTTTCAATACATTTTTTAACAAATTTTTGAATTGGCTGAAAAATTCACAGCCTAAAGAGGGGGAGCTTTGAAATCAGTGAAATCTTTTGCTATTTCGAATTGAATAATGACATAAAATTTTTTTATTTGGGGTTTTTTTTTTTGATTTTGGTTTTGGTTTTTCAAAGATAAAAGTCTGAATGATGAGTCTGTTTGGCAGAGGCAAAGTTGTTAATATTTGACAGGTCTCAGTGTCAAAGATTTCATGGACTGTCAAAATGTGGGCAAACAAATCCTTGGGGCAGAGAAAGAGAAATATTTACATTTCCCTAGACACTCGGTAGCGTTTCATTTCTTTTGACACCTTCCTTCTGTACTAGATTCAAACATAAAGGGAATGACAGGAATATAAGATGACCTAAATTCAAAGTTCCCTTAACTTCTAAAAATAAATAATAGAAATGGTTAAGAAGAAAAAAAATCTTCAATTTAGTTTTTAGTATTCCCTATTGTTTTTCTTGAAAATTAAATATCATAAATGTATATTTAGTCTATCAAGCATTAATAAATATTTTTACTGATCAAATGAAATTTTTATAGGCACAATGAAGTTTACTTCTGACCTAGAATATTTTAACACCATCTTTCTTCTTTTTTTAATCACAAAGGTGGGAATTATTAAATTATTAAATTCAAACACAAGAAATTACCTATGCAGTTCAGTTTTTATAGTGAAATTGATATTAATATTCTTCTTAAAGCATAATATTCATTATTTTATACTTATGTTAAACTGGTATTTGAGCAATTATATGTTTAATCTTCAATATACAAATGGTGGAAAAAACTGGATAATTTAAAATAATGAATTCCATTCTAGCAAAAAAATTCTCTAGAGAAAAGCTTTTTTCTTGGAGTCTCTGGGTAGGAGACCATGGAGAGACTTAAGTGACCTGCCAACTCCCTGATGCATATGGAAATCCTCTGTATATGTGAATATATGTTATTTTTCTGGGAATGTTGCTTTCATCAGATATTCAGAGACACTAATGTTTTAAGAATCAGTCTAGATTGATCGAGAGAATCACCCTTGATTGAATCAACTCACTTTATATTGTTTAAACTTAGTTGCTAGAAATTTGTTAGGGATTTTAGAAAGCCCTCAAATTTCAATACTCGGATTACAAGAGACTTTGCTTAAGTCACCATGAGAACAAGATCTAAGTTGATAGTTAATATTTGTCAGGAACTCCACAGAATTCTAGGCTGAAAGCTAAATAAAGTGAGGTTTCTGTGATCACTCTGAAGAAATAAAAAAGAGGTACACTAGTCCCTTAGTATCCATGGGACATTGGTTCCAGGACTTTGGCAGATACCAAAATCTGAGGATGCTCAAGTCCCTTATACAAAATGACATTGTATTTGCACTAAACTTGTGCCCATCCTCCTGTATACTTTAAATTATCTCTAGACTACTTATGATACCCAATACAATATAAATACTATGTAAATAGATATGAATACAATGTAAATGCAGTGCAAATAATTACTGGTGTGTGGCGAATTCAAGTTTTGCTTTTTTGGAATTTTCTGGTTTCCCTTTTTCTTTTGATATGTTTTCATCCATGGCTGCCGAATCTGAAGATGTAGAATCCTCCCAGGATATGGAGGGCTGACTGTATTGTAAAATCAATGAGGTAGATAGTGCCAGGAGGCTTTAGTTGCACTATAAAGCAGGGAATAAGCAAGAAAATCTTGGGAAAAGATAATATGCGTATGTATGAAGTTCCCCACACCCAAATAGGTTTATCACAGGATTACTCCTCACTGTTTTTCATGTGCCCATAAATTTCCTGAGTTTTAACTGCAATGGAATCAGTTAGAATCTAGGTATTTGCAGTTAAAACCAAAAGGGTAGGCTTTCCCAATAAATTTCCAACTTTCATTCTTCTGTAAAATCTGTAGGTGTTTAGCCCTTTCCATTAATGACCTTTCAAAGACAGAACTTATATGTATAAATGCAGTCAAATATAATACATAATACACAAATTGGAAATACTTATATTCGGCATTCACAGCAGCTGTCTTTTAATTGAATTTATGTCTTAATTAGTCCGAATATAATTTTCATAGTCAATTTATGAAATTTTAAAATTCTTCATTATATGGATTACTTTTTTTCCTGTTTATAGTACTCAACAAAGTCATTTCTTCTTACCTTAAGGTAGGCCAATAAATCATCCAATTTACTGGTAGGTAGTCACAAGGATGGTAAAAAATTAAGCACCCATAAAGAAAGGAGACATAAAGATAATTCTTTAAAGTGGTCCATGAAAAGACATTTAAGAGCTTTGAAAATAGAATATGCTTGTAACTAAGTTTATCCTCAGCTAAACTGTGAGCCCTCAACTTTTCCTTTTAAAAGTCACCACTGATTTATTACTTTTTTATATTAAAATATAAAAAATTGTGGATTTTTTGGTAAAACTTTGCTGTAATCCTGCAGGTGGGGTCCAAAATATTTAATTGCCTAAAATGTGGGTCATGTTATTGTGAGGTTAATGAGATGAAAATGGGCATAAGTGGAGAACAGAAGCCAATCATGTTATCTCCCATTTTGAGGTATTATAGGCCCATTATCATGGGGTCTCTCTGTGCTCCTTTTTCTCTTAACTACTGTCATACTGTAGTAATACTGAAATACATCTCGGCAAGCAAATGTGTGTTTTCCAAGTATTTCTCTGCAGTCTAAGAAGTGTCCCTTGTTGGATCCCAGTGTTCTTTTAAAACGTCATTTACCCTAGTCACTTCCTATCCCTCTGGGAATGATCTAGAATTAGAAATTGCTATGAATATTTTCCTTTTTTTCTTTGACTTTTATTATAATGCTAAGGCTAGACCTCAACAGGCAAATCCAAGGGGTTTCTAGTAATTTCACAAAAAGATGTTTTAAATGAATTCCATGGATAATTACGTAATGCTTTTAGAAGTGTAGGATCAGTCATCTTACTGTGTGTTTTGTTGCTTCTGAGAACGTGTAACTATTTGCACAGCACACTTTTTGTTTTCCCAGTTGGAAATATAATGCAGCTCTCAACAGCATGGGCTCTGGTCAGACAGCCTCCATCAAATTCTGTCTCTTCTACTGACAGCTGTGTGATGTTTTCCCGGTGCTTAACTTCTCAGCACCTCTGATTCTTTGTCTCTAGAATCAATATAAAAATACCTGCCTAATAAGGTTTTTGTAAAGATTAAATGAGATAATTAAAACAATGCTAATCGTATAGTAAGTATTCAATAAATATTTACTATGATTATTGTATCCTTAAAAGATAACTTGTTTCTCTGGCAGCCTAACAGATAAAACCTGCGGAACCTCAAGTCTCAGTTCCTGGCTGAATCATCCCTTGAAGGCGGGTTTATCCTCAACAGGCTTGCCTTGAATTATGCCAAACTATGCCCTATAGAGACCAAGGTCACCAGCACGTATCTTTGGTGCCCCTGTAGGTAGGAGCGTGATTGTTAATGGCAGCTTTGGAGTCCCAAAGTCCATTCCCAGTCCAGAGCGTCTCTTATTTTAATTATACTTTGCTGCTGCTCCTTTAAAAATTTGTAAACCTCTGCGTTTTTTGTTTTTTGTTTTTTTTGCGGTACGCGGGCCTCTCACTGTCGTGGCCTCTCCCGTTGCGGAGCACAGGCTCCGGACGCGCAGGCTCAGCGGCCATGGCTCACGAGCCCAGCCGCTCCGCTGCATGTGGGATCTTCCCGGACCGGGGTACGAACCCGTGTCCCCTGCATCAGCAGGCGGACTCTCAACCACTGCGCCACCAGGGAAGCCCAACCACTGTGTTTTTGAGAGCTAGAAGTTTCATTTTGTGTTGATAAATGTTCTCTGTTCTAATACTAGGAATCGTCAAATTTCTGTAGTGCAATAGGATAACTACAGAAGTTTACTAACTCTTTCATTCCTGTAAGAGTTATTTCATGTTACTTTATTCATTGGCACAAAGATTTAAGAATATATTGTGCTCAAAGCCAAAGAATTCTAATTGGAGAGCTGTTGAAGGGTATTTTGTCAAGAGGATCATGATAAGGTTTAGATGGACGTTTCAAAGATTATTTAGAGAGAAATAAAAAAGGAAAGATTTCTCAACCTGCATTGTTCCTTTCAGAACTTCTGAGAAAAAGGTACAAGTGGGGAAATAGGAGGTGGTAGAAAATAGTAAGCATTGCCCCAATCTTATGAGCATGGGGGTGGAGTCCCATCAATTCAGAAAAGTACTGCATATGTTCAGATACAAGCAACCTCAAGATAGAGGAAAGCCACTCTTTTCCCCGTAAAAAAAAATGTTTACTATTTGGTCATTTTGAATATATAAAGTTTTACCAGTTATTAATTTACTTATTCACAACTTGAGCCACTGTTTAAATAACTTAATGCAGCTTTCCAAAGCACATTATTTTTAGTTTTATCTAACTTGTTTAACATAGAGCACTTTTGAATCCTAAAATAGCGCTGTGCTGTCCCTGGAGTGTTATACAAAGCCACATGAAATTCTTTGCATTTAAAAGTTTTTTTTTTAATTTAATTCCTCCTGTAGTTATATGTTGATGATCTTTACAGAGGTCCCATTTGTGTATGTTTTCTTGTGTGCTTTTTAAAGGGATATTATTATAGAGGAATGTTTACAGTGATATCCAACATTTGTAGTTACAGAGTCATAAACAGGAAAATTTTAAAACTCTCATACGACTTTCACTAGCATTCAATACCAACACTGATTAAAGTCACTTAACGCTAAAGTGTTTTCTCCCTAGCTGTTATTCAAAATAAAGTACTGAAGGAAAGATCCCATAGTGTGAGACTTTGTAAAGACATAACTACATAACTATGGGATAATGGCTCCATTACTGCAAAAATAAATATATATTTATGTGTTGTACTTTAATCTATTATGTTCATGGTATTTTCTACCACACTTCCCCCCACCCCACACCAATTTAATAAAACAAATATAAAGGTAACATTTTAAAAATTGTTGTATTCAAAATTAATAATAAACTTTAGGGTAAATAAGCTTTAAAACAAAAGTACATAAGCAAAAATAAATAATTTTCACCAATCCACTAACCTAATTTTCAGAGTAAAGCCATTTCCAATTACAGCACTGTGTATGTGTATATATATACACACACACACACACACACACACACACACAGAGATAGAGAGATATCCATATACAAAAATATATTTCTACCATTTGAGTATATTGTATTTAGGAAGTAGTATCATCAGAAAGTGGTGACTAATTGTGCATGTAAGAGAGTCTAGATTGTTCTCATTTCAGCTCTCTGGATGGGATGACTGGAAGTGTCATTAAATGAAAGAGTAAGAGCTTTGGGGAAAGGTAAAAAAATTCAATTTTAAATAAAGTATGAAGTTCCTATGGAAAATCCAGGGGAAGATATCTAGTAAACGAATGGACTTACAGCCTAGTGATCAGGGGAGATTTGGGGCTGAAGATTTTATACTTATGAAATTTTTCAAAAATTATTCTATTTAAGTTTATCTCTTTACCTTTTAAACTTTATCAATTTGCATATATAAATTTTCCTTAAAGAAAAGTGGACACGGTTTTTCTTATACAGAGGATTTTGTCTAAAAATTGTTGATGCTAGCTACTTTATTTATTCCATCCTACAACCTTTCACATTTTAATGTGCTATTCTTGAACGTCAGCAAGCATCTTAAGGATATGTTTCCCTACAAATATTAAGTTCATCGACATTTCTTAGAGCCAGCTTTTGTCTGCCTACTTTAGTCCTGTTTTCTTCAAAAACTCAAGGTTACCTCTTTTTTTTTCCAGAGAGCCATTTTTTCCTACATTTCTATTACTATTATGTTAGTATCAAAGGATTTGTTAATCCCTCTTGAATAATATTTTGATGTTTTACAAGTCCTTCTTATTTGTGTTTTTTTGCTTTCCTGTTATTTTCCCTGTGCTGCTCAGATTTGTAACAATGTCTGATTTTAAAATCTTTTTTTGCTTTCCATATAAATAAAAAACCCAAGTCTAAATAAGTAATTTTTGGACTTTCTGATTGCCGTGTACAAATGTTTATGGAGGCCTAGTGTGCATTAACATTCAAAGATTGATACAAATAGCCTCTTAGGCTGTTAACAGATATAAATGGGTAGTGATGTGCTGATAAAAATTTAACAGCCAGCACTCTGAGTGGGAAACTGATTTGTAACCTTTCCCAATTTCCTGGTATAACACTTTCCTCCCTCCATCCCCCAAGGCTGGTTTCAGTCTGCCTGTGTGAGGTCACGGGATTTGGAGTTGGGAAGTGATCCAATCACCTTTATGAACAGTACAAATTGGTTCTAACACAATACTGTATCTTGTAACACTATACACTTCATCAGTATATAAGCTTCATATTGTTTAAAATAATAGTGTGCTTGGTAACATTTTCTGTCATAGTACATTCACATATTTGGATATCTTGCTGAAAAGTATCATTTGAACTCTTCAAATAGTGAAACTTTGTGGTAGGGGCTAATTCTGGGTAACTCAGACCTTCTTTTTACAACTTGAGGAATTCATACATAAATGTATGGGAAGATATGTACATGCACAGCTATATACAATAAAATGGTTCTGTTAACATCTTCCCTTTTGAAAACCTCTGGGATGACATTAAAAAAGTTTCCATCTGTTGCGCCCTGGGTGAGCTTAATTGCTGCTCCCTATCGCCGAATTAACTAGGAAATGTCATCATACCCTGCGCTTCACGCACCCCTTAACAGCATGCTTAACATCCATGGATGTTTTGGAAAAAATAAATAAGTCTTTTGCATAGCAGTGTACTTTACTCTTACATGGATAAATCACTTTGCCTCCTGGGCAATCCGTTTGATTATAATTGAATCTCAGTCAGTAATATTTTAATGTCCTTTTGGCTATTAGGTTATAAAAGCAATAGAAGAAGGTTATCGCTTACCAGCGCCCATGGACTGCCCAGCTGGGCTTCACCAGCTGATGCTGGATTGTTGGCAGAAGGAACGTGCGGAAAGGCCAAAGTTTGAACAGATAGTTGGAATTCTAGACAAAATGATTCGAAACCCAAATAGTCTGAAGACACCCCTGGGAACGTGTAGTAGGTAAGAAATAGCTAAAGAAATGAAATCTGGGAGAAATTCAAACTTCATATGAACCATGTATCTCCTCAGCCCCACCCCAATGGCAAATCGACATTTGTGTTGTTATTAAAGTCCATATTAAATTTCTTATCTTTATAGAAGTTTTTTTTTTCTTTTCAGATGGCTTGCCTTAGTTAAATCAGTGTTTAAAGAGATCTATTCATTGTTATTGCCTTAAATAAAATTTATGATCAATATCACTGGCTGTCATTTTAGAAAAATTTCTCAAGTGGATTTGTGTGATTAGGTGGCATTTCACATTATCAATATTACATGGATTTTTATTGCTGTTGCCCTAGTTTTTTATTATATCCATTTTATCTATTGGATTGTTTTGCTTTGAGTTTCATAGTAAAATGATTCCATGAAGTTAAAGATTATTAAGGTAATTCAATATATGATTTAAGAGGTATACCCATTAAAAAGAACCTAACCGAACCGCCCCATGCATGCTTCATGGTAATGGTAATGTAGATTAGTAGTTATTCGGCTTCATCTGCCAGGTAGACCTGTTGCTCTGTCGTCTGTACTGTAGTCAGGCCCTTGCGGAGGTGTATGAACTCACAAGGTGCACAAGGGGTGCCATTAGTACAGTGGGTGCATTATGTTCTCAAAAGCATCCTCTGAACAAGTTAGTCCACAGCCAGATGTGCTTTCTGTACTCCCAGTTACTTTCAGAGAAGCAAATGAACAGATATTTACTGATTACAAATATTGTTGGCCATACTCTGAAAAGTACATGGAAGATGCAATCTGCTGGTTATCATATCTAAATAAAATAGAAATTTTGTAGTTAGTAGGGTTTTGGGGTGGTTTTGTTTGTTTGTTTGTTTTTGCGGTATGCGGGCTCTCACTGTTGTGGCCTCTCCCGTTGCGGGGCACAGCCTCCGGATGCGCAGGCTCAGCGGCCATGGCTCACGGGCCCAGCCGCTCCGCGGCATGTGGGATCTTCCCGGACCGAGGCACGAACCCGCGTCCCCTGCATCGGCAGGCGGACTCTCAACCACTGCGCCACCAGGGAAACCCTAGGTGTTTTTTTTAAACTTCTTTTATTGAGGTATGGGTGATTTACAATGTGTTAATTTCTGCTGTACAACAAAGTGATTCAGTTATCCGTATATATACATTCTTTTTCATATTCTTTTCCATTATGGTTTATCACAGGATATTGAATATAGTTCTCTGTGCTCTACAGTAGGACCTTGTTGTTTATGCATTTGGAATTTGGAATTATTGGGCAAATTTTACACATTAGATTTTTATTAGCATATCTGTTTGTTATTACAATATAATTAAATATGTAATTTTATTTTTTATATCCTTATTTTTGTGGGGCTAAGGCATGCTTTCTTTCGTAATTCATGAAAAAATTTGCTTTTCTGTATTATTCTCACCCAGGCCAATAAGCCCTCTTTTGGATCAAAACACTCCTGACTTCACTGCCTTTTGTTCAGTTGGAGAATGGCTACAAGCTATTAAGATGGAAAGATATAAAGATAACTTCACAGCAGCCGGCTACAACTCCCTTGAATCAGTCGCCAGGATGACTATCGAGTAAGCTTAAACCTGCAAAATTATGTTGAAGAATGTATCAGGTGCAATCCAAACGTTAGACTTTAGGTCATCTTCCATATATTAAAGAGGTATGAGCCCTAAAATCAGGGAGAAAATTGTCTCTTTAATAAGTGCCTACCGTGTCCCAGGCATTTTGCTAAACAGACTTCTGAACATACAATATCTTTTTTAACCTTCATGGCAACAATTTTATTAAGTCAGTAGTTTTATGTATGACAAGGCTAAGGCTCAGAGAATTTAAATATTTGCCCTAAACTGACTCAATCGTAAGTGGTAGCTAATTTGTCTCCATAGCCAGTGTTCAAAACACCACCCAGTGAGACTTCCTCTTTCATTAACCGCTGTATTATCTATCTTTTAAAATTTTTATTTTATACTGGAGTAGAATTGATTAACAATGTTGTGTTAGTTTCAGGTGTACAGCAAAGTAATTCAGTTATACATGTATAACTATTCTTTTTCAAATTCTTTTCACATTTAGGTTATTACAGAGTATTGAGCAGAGTTCCCTGTGCTATACAGTAGGTCCTTGTTGGTTATCTATTTTAAATATAGCAGTATATTCATATCAATCCCAAACTCCTGCTGTATTGTTTAGATTCCTAGTCACTGGGGAAACTTTCTCCATTGCAAAAGAGGATTTCTTTCACCATGTTTGTATCAGACATTAAAAATCTCGAAATTTTAATACCAAAATGCATTATGAAATCCAGTATGAGCACTTTCTGAAGAGGTCAAAGGACGCCTAATTCAATTAAACGTAATAAGAATTTAACTTAAGTTTTGGAAGGTTTGTGATTGATTGATTTTTTTTTTTTTTAATTGAAGAATGACCTGATAAAACAGTTTTTGAAATTGCTCTGAACTGGAGGTAAAAAGAAGTAAATATTTCTTTCCGGCTCTATAACTGATGATGTGGTCTTAGGAAATATATTTAGTATCTCTGGACCTCAGCTTCCTTGGCTGCAGCATAACTCTTACAGGCAATGCAGTTCCTCTCAGTCAGTGTGTTTGAAAATGGGAAACAATTATCAAGGTTCTATTAGTGGGATGCTATTTATGTACTGTTGGGAGAAGTGTTTCACATTTTTCAGATGAGAAGAAAGCCAGCAATCACGTACTCTTTCCTGGCATGTCAGGAAATGGCATATACACGAATTTCGGCATGTGCATGCTCTCTCGTTTGGTTTTCTGCTAGACACCACATGGGTAGAGCTGATGTAATTACACCTGTCTCTGCAAAGTAATCTACTCCCCTGAAAAACCGTGCTTCGCAAGGTCTCATTAGACCACGGCTATGAAATATCACAGTACTCTACTGTGGCTATATTTTAGCTACTTGTAAATACCTAAGCTCAGTCTTTTTGGCTAATAGATACAGCTGGCGTATGGCAAATTTAGGCTATTAAACATAGGTATTGCACACTTTAAGGAATTTTTTTTTTCCAAAATGTGGTCAAATGATTGTACTAAACTGAAGTATACAACCAATAATATGCTCAGGATTACCACACGTTGATTAAACTCAGTATAATACTTTGTATGATCCTTGATGATTCTTGATCTACTAGAGCCATGCAATGTTTCCATTCATACTACATCCTATTTAAACAATGAAATATTTTTAACTTTCCTTAGATTCAAGAATACTACATTTCAAGTAACGTTTCCTAGCTGTACCTTAAGTTAATAATAATTTTAAGGCTTTGATAATTTCTTAAATAAAATGTCAAATCAAAGAATTCCCTGGCGGTCCAGTGGTTAGGACTCAGTGCCTTCACTGCCTAGGGCCCGGGTTTGATCCCTGGTCTCGGGGAGCAACCCCACAAGTCGCGCATAGCGGCTAAAAAATAAAGTCACATCACCCTGTTAAAAAAAAAAGGTCAAATAGTTTAAAAATAACTGATCACGACAAATTGAGATCCTGAGTAGCAGGGTTTTACAAAGGATAATGTTGATGCAGGTTGCCAATCCGACCCACTGTGGGAATAGGATCTTAATGTCCAAGAACACCAAGATAAGATCTGTGTGCCTAAGAGAAACAGATTAATTAAAGAGTTGATGACAGTTTAGTACCAAATAAAATGTTTGCAAGGTAACTAATAAAAACTGCATTTGTCTTTTTCAGGGATGTGATGAGTTTAGGGATCACACTGGTGGGCCATCAAAAGAAAATCATGAGCAGCATTCAGACTATGAGAGCACAAATGCTCCATTTACATGGAACCGGCATTCAAGTGTGATAAGCGTTTCTCCCTTATGAGGGAGACTATGGACCACGAGAGAACAGTACTGGCCTTCAGTATATGCGTAGAATGCTGCTAGCAGACAGTTGATATCCTGGGTCCTTCCTACAGTGAAGAGAAGATTTAAGAAGCACCTATAGACTTGAACTCCTAAGTGCCACCAGAATATATAAAAAGGGAATTTAGGATCCACCACTGGTGGCCAGGAAAACAGCAGTGACAATAAACAAAGTACTACCTGAAAAAACATCCAAACACCTTGAGCTCTCTAACCTCCTTTTTATCTGATAGACTTTTTAAAATGTACATAAAGAATTTAAGAAAGAATATATTTGTCAAATAAAATCATGATCTTATTGTTAAAATCAATGAAATATTTTCCTTAAATACGTGATTTCAGACTATTCCTTTTTAAAATCATTTGTGTTTATTCTTCATAAGGACTTTGTTTTAGAAAGTTGTTTATAGCTTTGGACCTTTGTAGTGTTAATTGATGACACATTACTACACTGGGTACCTTTGAAAGAATCTCCAATTAAAAAAAAAAGCATAGCATGATTGAAGATATATCTCTGTCAGAACATTGGTATCCCTTTTGTGCTATTTAATTTTGTTTAATCAGTGCTGTTTTGATATTGTTTGCTAATTGGCAGGTAGTCAAGAAAATGCACGTTGCCAAGCGCTCTGATATTTTTTAAAAAGAAACTTTTTTTGTAAAGATCTGACAACACACTATCTTTTCAATGAAAAAAGCAATAATGATCCATAAATACTATAAGGCACTTTTAACAGATTGTTTATAGAGTGATTTTACTAGACAGAACTTAATAAAAACTCAAATTGTAGGTTTATGATTATAAAAAGAAAGATGAGTCACTTCATCTAAAGAATGTTGGTGGAGGCAAGTCTCTGAAAGCAAGACTATCCAGTGTTATCTAAAATTTAATCTGAGCACATCACGATTTTTTCAATATCGAGACATTAGGAAATTTAGGAGAAATAGTTGACATATATTTTATATCCTATTCTGTTTAATGCAGTCCAAACATGAAAGGAAAGAATTAAGTTTTATATTAGAACTCTGAAGCATGATAAAAGGGGCAGTTCACAATTTTCACCTTTCAAAAACAAATTTGCTGCACAGAATATCACCACTGCAGTTTTTAAAAAAAAAAGTCTTTTTATACGTGAACGCTGATGGGAGAAGCTTTTTAAATGAAAGAACGCATTTTACCATGTAAGGAAGAGGTGAAGGGTCTGGCTTTTTCTTTAAGCTTTATTAAACAAGATTATTTGATTACTGTGTTAGAATTTCATAAGCAATAATTAAATGTGTCTTTATAGCTATTTCAGGAATGTATACATATCGTGAGTAATGCTTTCAAAAGTAACGAAAATCATGAACTACCCCAGAATTGAACTGTTGTATTTCCAAAGAGAATTGGGCTGTTTCTAATGATTTTAATAGAGAAAGATCCCAGGGATCGGTCCTAATTGGTCTTGTTTGATAATGTGGGCACCCACAAACAAACGATCAAATAACAGAAACAAAACCTGTAAATGTTCCTTTGTAAAACTTGTAAATTTTATTTATACTGTCTTGTTTTGTACACACATTTCTCTGTAGTGGGCTCTGAATACATTGAAAATGCACTATATTTTTCTATTTTACTTGCAGAGTATCACAAAAGAACAGGTATTTTCAGTGCTACATAACGTGTTTTCCCACATTTAGGACCAAAGATGGCTATAGAAAAACTCAAAAGGATTGCGTCCCAACCCCTCCCCACCCCTTTTGTTTCTTTTAAATCACTGTACAGTGTTGTTTGATATTTTAATTTATTTTTTGATTGACTAGAAAAATCATTTTAATTTCACTAAAATGTTTTTTGTCCCTAAGGAGAAATAATCTGTAAAATAATTTTAGTTAGCATAATATAGTCACCTAGACACTTCCATTTGTAATCTTTGTAATAGACTGTAAATATATTTTTGGAACTATAACACAATGTGCTTGAGGGTTATTTTTCAGTGTCTGCAGTGTATACAAGTGTTTATACTAAGTACAGCACTTTACAATTCTAATCAGTAGCATTGGCCTTTGTGAGAATGAGTGAAAGAGTTTGAGTGAGTGTTCTTAATTCCGTTTGGATTCTAGACTCACTAAGAATGAAGTTCTTTTCTTGTTCATAGCTTAAGGTGCTTATTTTTTCTATTAAAATTAAATTAACAAAAAGCCATTCTAGAAATAGAAGACATAGTAGGGTACATGCAAACGGTGTCTTTCCTGCTTTTTTCTAGCACTAGATTTATAGTTGAGTAGTCTTTCTTGAGTAGAAGGGCAGAATAAAAGTTTTTTTGAGTTTTTTTTCAAAAATAACTTTTTCCTTCAGCAATATACCTCATCTGCCTTAAATTTTTTACAGCTCTTTACAGGGAAAGGGAGAAGGGATGGGAAAGACACAGCACAATAGGAAGGGTATGACGCATCACTCTCTCGTCGGTAGGTTTCTTTTCCCAATCAACATTATGATTTTGAAATACATGTATGTGAAACAGATATTCAGAGAAAAGTAATTAACCTTGTAATGCTGATTGTAATACTGTCTTCCAGAAAGAGATGAAACGCTATAACGATAAGAATGTACAACTTGCACCTTGAAATCCTTTTTTGTTTTGTTTTGTTTTGTTTCTTTGATAAATTAGTGCTCAGGGGAGGAAGGATAGAGAAAGCAAATGTCAGAAAGAGAATTCAAACGTAATAAAAATGCAAAAGGAATCGGCCTCCTTGCTTAAACAGAGCCACCTTTTTTAGAATGCTGTCTTCACACGTGACTTGTGTTTTGCATTCAGGACTGAAATAAAAGTAACTTTTGTTACATCTGAATCTAACATTTTCTCGGCAGTTGATCTGGGCCTTGTTTACTAGGACTGGTGGTTTATGCTTGTCAGAGCACTCTGAGTTGAATCATATTGTATACTTATGTAATCTACATTAGCTAGTACTATTTAGGATGCTATTTTAATTGCTCCTCTTATCCGTGTTTTTAAGACAATTAAAATGGTGTAAGTCACCTCTCTTTTTTATTTAGGTAATGCTGATATTCTCCCTTTTGTTTCCTGAGTAGCCTGGAACTGTGCTACTCACTGATGTGCATGTTCAAATAAATTACTGATGTGTATTTTTTTGCTATATGTGGAGAAATCATGGGGAACTCGGGGCGAGATGTGCTTTTTGTTGGTTGAATTTGTCCCTCCTTGCCTAAGAATTACTACAGGGGTCATCCTTTTATAAGGACAAAATGCTTTTGAACAGTGTCTTCAATGTATCAAGCACAAATAACTCTTTCTTCAACACGAAGCATAAGTCTCTTTTTACCAGCTTACAATAATAAACGAGTCTATTAGACAATGTAAAGAAAATCCTGTCTCCAATCATTGGCGGATTCCTTTATGTCCCGTACTCGTTCTTTATTTTCTTACACAATATCATGAAAGGAGATGTTTAGAGTAAAGGTTTTATTTAAATATTTCAGGGAGCCAATCAGAATATGAAGAAAATTATTATCCTTTTCATCCCCTCCTTCTGCACACAGACTTAATTCCACTCTAATTATTACAGAATAACAAGTTAAGACTATGTCTTCAAAGAGCTGAACTGTCAAATATTTTAATTAAAACCTCTTTTGTTCTTTTTTGAATCTACAACTACATGGTACTAACAAGAATATTTGCATGGGAAAGGTAATACTTTGTCATGAAACCCTGACAAGTATTTCTTACATTTAGTATAATACAGCAACTTGGAGAGTCTCTGTGTTTAAGATGCTGCAGGATGCAAACAGAGTCCAGAGAAAATGGGAAAAGTGATAAATCTGGTTATCTGATTGTTTATCAATGACACTGACTTAGATCAGACCAACTTGCACCTGAAATAAACTAAACACTCCCTTTTCTCCAGCATCACCATTGTAAGCTCTACAAACTCTGAACAAATATCCAAACATGTTTCAAAAAATGAGACTAGGCAGATACCAGGTGACATGCTATCACTAGTTATCACACTCCTGATGCTGAGGCTCGGGGTAGGCTGAACTGAAGTTGAAAGATAATCTTGAAGTCTTGGCTGTCCCTGACTCTTCCACAAGCAACGCCCTTCCGAAGTTCACACAGTGATTATTACATAGCCTGAAACACTGACGCACAGTCAAACGGTCTCTTAAAGTACTGGATTTATAAGTGGTACAAAAATACACTATTCTACCAGCACTCGTTTTCCTCCAAAAGTATAAAGCTGTTATGAAGGATACACAAGTTCTATCACTAAGTAAGAATTAGATTTTAATACTTTCAGTGATCATCAGTAACAAGTTTTTGCTGAAGTATTTTTATCTTCTATTGTTACCCTTTGTTTTATGTTGTTAGCTACAGTAAAAACTATCAATTTTGAGAGAAGCTTCTGAGAGGATCAAAGAGGTGATCAAATTCCTAAATTCAATTCAAAAGATTGTAACTACTGATATTAACAAATGATAAAAGATAGTGCATGGTGACTGGCAAACCTGCAACCTGCTCTGAAGGGAAAAGCATGCTCTTGGCTTTGTGGCAGTGGCCCTTCAATAGCCCCTACCCAGCTGCTCTACTGTTCTGTCTAATGCATCTCAGCGTAGCTTGAAGAATACGAACAAGAGAATAAAATATTTCAATAGGATGCTTCTGTGAACCTCATTAGAGTTAAGTGCTGTAGGGGGGTATTTTTTTCAAGTTCAGTGATTGAATGTAATTAAATCTATTATTAAACAATAAAAGACCTCTTCTGATTGACCTTGAGGTTAAAATAAATGTAATTAATTGATTTAATTTAATTGGACCTCTCTCCCAAAGTTTGGTAAGTAGCAATAAGTAGATCTAGTCTAGTGTTCCATGGGTCTGTGACAGCACTAGAAATCCCTTAGGTATGTAACGGTAGCAGGGATTCTCAAATTGCTGGCGTTTGATGATTTGGGCACAGTAACAAGTGAGGTGTTGTCTATTCTAAACCTCCATGAATAACAAGCAAAGCTCCATAAGAAATAACCTGCAACATGTATTTCATTATTTCAGATATCCCAGGTTTCCACTACTGAAGGTTATCTTTGTTTCCCTTTTGAAATTCATAGACTTTAATTAAGTATATTTGTAGTTTTATATATAACTTAAGAACGCACAGGGGCTTCCCTGGTGGCGCAGTGGTTGAGAGTCCGCCTGCCGATGCAGGGGACGTGGGTTCGTGCCCCGGTCCGGGAGGATCCCACATGCCGCGGAGCGGCTAGGCCCGTGAGCCATGGTCGCTGAGCCTGCGCGTCCGGAGCCTGTGCTCCGCAATGGAAGAGGCCACAGCAGTGAGAGGCCCGCGTACCGCAAAAAAAAAAAAGAAAGAAAGAATGCACAGTATATTTTTAATGAATGATTAATCATAGATCTTAAAGATGCTCAGAGGAAGAAACAACAGGCACATTTGTTTTGGGTAATGTTGGTTCTAGTTTAGCAGAAGACAAACACATACTGTTCAAGTCTCACCATTTCATTATGGAACCAAAATTAAATAAAATGAATGACTGGACAGCTAACTCGAGAAAAACAAATAGAGAAAATTAAGCTACATATGCAGAACTGTGTTCATATAAATCACATTTCTAAAATATTTCACAATTCACAGAAAGGAGGCAAACAACTCACACATACTTTTTTAAAGGGACGTGAATTTGCAGACACTTATTAAACAGATCGTTAGACCTATAGTAAAATACAAGAGAACGTTCTAAATTTAACCTGGTGTCCCCCTGTCAGTTAGCTAGAGATAAGCACTGTTAAGATTGAAAACCAGACAGAATATGTGGCTAAAATGTTCTCTTTCTAAATGAAAGAGACCCACAGCTTTCTTCAGCTCTGACATGTGCACGAGTGTTTTAGGGATCTACTGGGCAGGGGGTCTGCTGGTCATATGTTATTGTAATTCCATGTTTCCACTTAGATCGTCACCCCTTGCACGCTGAGCTCCAAGTGTATTCACCGGAACCCAACTTAACAGAAACCACACGAATCTGACTTTACAAACATACGTGCTTAGCTTGACCTGAGAAATAGACAGGAGTTAATGCATGGGCTCCTGCTGCTATTTCAATGGCTCTGCTTCTCATAAAGGAATACCTGTTAGCTTAGCTGTGGTGCAGGACCAGCAGACACGGAGCAATTAAACTTCTTCTGATCTACCTGAAAAACAAAACCAGCAAACACCAAAGAATGCCATCCTTCAGATTTGCAAAGGAACAAGTAATACTGTTTATTAAAGTGTATACAAAAGCGTATATAAAAGGAGCAAGTAATATTATATATTAAAGTGTATATAAAAGGCAGGGATGAATTGCAGGAAATCTGGAGAGTCCGCTAGGAGAAGCTGAGTGTAATGGAAGAGGCCATAAAGAGCTACTGGCAATTCTGACCAGAAAAAAAAAGGATGTGGTGGGAATAGAGTTTACAGAACCAAGGTCTGGCCCTGATGCTTGAAGAATGAATTAATTACTCTCCATTTCTGGATCAGAGCAATAGAATCACCTTCTGTGCTACCACAGCATTGCTCTCTGTTCTCACATTCTCTCTCACTTTTCTACACGAGGGAAATCCCCGTCTTCAATACACAACTCACAGTTGTTTCCTCCAAGCCTTCACTGACACTCAGGAGGTAGACTTCTCTCTTCCGTGCTTTGCTTCTGCTGCTGGTGCTGTGATTCCCCTATTGTGTTCTGTCAGATTATGTGTGTGTGTGTGTCTCTCCCACTAGATCAAGGGCTCTTGGAGGGCAGA